CAAGAAGAATCGTGTAAAGAACAAATAGAAAAAGAAAATCAAAATTTGTACCTCTGCTTCGTTGAGTTTTGCGAATCTCTCTTTACATGCCATCGCTGTTCTTCCATGGTGCAGCGAACTCGATGACACGCGGCACCAGTCAATTGGTCCGTATTTCATCACACCGGCTTTGAGCAAAGCGTCTTCCGTTGAACTCCACGCCCTCCTGGATCTTTGAACCGCGCCGACATCCTCTTTCTCTTTCATGATTTTACCTTTCCATATCGTGTTGGTTCTTTCTTCGAGGAGATGTCGAATCAGTAAAAAATGTGTTAGGAAGAAGAAACTTTGAAAGCTATGTATATTTATAAGCTTTTACAAAGCACACCGTAAGATAAAAAAATAGCCGTTGAACTTTGATTTTATTTTCCTAAACTACCCCCTAATTTCATTTAAATTCAACAAACCCCTTTTCTTATTTGACCACGTGTCAAGTCTAGTAAAGCCACCGTAGTCCACTGGATGTTTCTCCCAAAACTCTCAATCAATCGCATCAGACAAGATTGAGTTTCCACCTTTTTGAGTTATTCAAAATAGTGTAAAACAAAAATGAATCCAATGGTTTGACGAAGTTGAAAGTCTTAGTCGGAATTGGCTTTACAACATAATTCATCTGATAAGTTAAAAAAAACAATAATGATTATAAAACTAAGTAATACTACCTCCATTTTAAAATAGATGATGTTTAAGATGTTTAAAGAAGTTTTTATGTTTCAAAATAGATGATGTTTTCAAAAATTGTGCAAATCCGAACATTTCAACCTCATCTTTCATACGTGAGTCTTCAGTAATTGTCTATTGACTAAAGTAAGCTTCTCTTTAGTCTCATTTTTAGATAGAGGATTCTGAGTTTTATAATCTAATTGTCTAAAAGAAAACAAAACATAAAGCTTTAGCTATGTCTAAATAAAAATCCATGAGAAAACACGAAAAAACAGTAATGAAAAAGAAACCCAAAACCAAAAGAAAGAATATTCAGCGATCATCCATTAAAGTCGATATGCACTTCATGTTCAAACATGAAAACGAAAGAATCGAGGAGGAAAAAAGACATTTTAGAATATAAATGAAGAAAATTGAAAATATCTAGAAAAAGAAGTAACCTTAAATTTGGTGGCGATCAGTATGTCCTTTGATTTTTTCCACCTGGTTTTAAAAGTGTGTTTAAGCACATGATTAATTTAGAATTCTAAAACCAACTACAATACATTTGATTGCAAGGTTGACCTAACAAATTAAATGAATTCTGTAATCACTTCTTGACCCAACAAAATTAAATGAATTCTGTAATCACTTTCAGTTTCACATTTTCATGACTAGTCCACATTGATCTTTGAGAAGAAGAGAAAATGGTTGCAAGTCTCACAAAACTAAAAAAATACCTCTTGTTTAGTTACAAATCATAGAGTAGCAGTTAAACAAAAATAATCATAACCATCAAAATTAATAATATATCGAAACTAAAGAAAAAAATTAAATATTTTGAGGTTTCAAATATATTTTTTGGGATGATTTCATATTTTGGTTACGATCCAATCCAAATCAAATCCGTAAGGAACCAAACCGTAACTGATCCGATAAATTACTAAAACCTGAATGGGTTTGAAAAGCATAATACCAAAAGTTTGAAAATCTAAATCAATCGAAACAAAATCAACGGATCCCCAAATGCCCAGACATATGATATATTTAAGAGACCAACATCTGTATTCTTTATTTTACAATCGATAAAAATTATAATGTTACAAAACATTAAAACCAAACAAACATTAATATAAAAACTTCACACCGCGCATGCGCGGGTATCACCTAGTTTATCTTAAAAAGAAAGCACCTTACAAGAAAATCATATCGACTTTTGCAAGACAAAAAAGATTGGGAGAATTTCAATTATACCACTTTGGTGGTACCACTTTTCATATTTACCATCAACAAATGAACATTTTCAAAAATACACATTTTATTAAAGGATAAAAGACTCTATATCCTTGTTCTTTATATATATACATAAAATAAATATTAAATAAAATACTAACCCTAAACTCTAAAACATCAATTCTAAATTCTAGGCCCTAAAAAGTAAACCCTAAACCCTAAAAATCAACCCTAAACCCTAAAATATCAATTCTAAACCTTAAACCCTAAACTCTAAACCCTAAAAAGTAAGCCCTAAACCCTAGAAAATCAACACTAAACCCTAAACTATCAATCCTAAACCCAAAACGCTAAACCCTAAATTCTAATAGTATTTTGACTATTAAAATTATAATGGTAAAATTGGTTAGTGTAAAGTTGAAAAGTGGTATCTTGAAAGTGTTATTTCTGGCAATTTCCCAAAAAGATTGATTCATCATCACCGATGTGATCGTTATCCACTGAACACCAAATACCTTTGGTTCAACTAGATCAAAGAACATTTCTTTGCACGCAAGGGTGATTTCTGATGATGCAACACGTATGCTAACACACAGCTCCATGCATATTTTTAAACTCCAACCTTTAGCATTGTATCTTCTCGTGAACTCCACATTGATCTCAATCTCTGAGAAAAAGAAGCAAAAAATGTTTCTAAATTCTCACAAAACTAAAACAAAAATGTTTTCGAAAGTCGATTTCTCTTGAACAACACCTCTGTTTGAAAATTAAAGAGATTAACTGTGCAATCGAAGATCTTTGAATTTGTGATGGCCTTGTATGCTTTCACGACTTGACGAAAGCAGTGAGAGGTAAATATTGCCAGAGAACCATCATTGCTACCACTCCCATTAGCCAACTTCAGCAGCTCCATAGAGACTGATGGAAGAGGTGACAAGTGAAGATGATGGTCTACCTCGTGTCCAGTTCTATTCATATTATTTAATAGGTTTGGATATGGGAATGACATCATCACATTGACGATATAAAATAGTGTGGCTCTATAATATATATTCTGCTACCCTAAACAAGAAGAAGAAGACCAGATTCAAGGTTTTCGATAGAGGAATGGAGATGGAGATTTGTGACTACAAGAACTTTTGATCATCACCAAATCTTGTCTAATCAGAGGCCGTCTTTTGCAAACGGATCATTATACTGGCTTACTGGAGACGAACGAGGATACCCATCAACACAAACCAAGCTCATAGTTGTCGATACCTCTGGTGACCAGATTGGTCTATGCAATCTTGATGGTCGTCTCTGCATATCTCAGCTCAAGGGAAATTTTAAGCAAGAGTTTGGTGGAGGGTTGAAGAATGCGAGACAAGTGGGAGATAATTTTACCATTTCCAAGCCTCTCACACCTTTAATTTGACCATTTCCAAGGATAACAATAAGGTTGTCCTCTCGCTTACCTAGCAATGAAGCCTTGTTGACTTTGATCTTGATCCTGACTCAAATGTTTATCATTTGTGTTATTCTAGTTACTATGGCTTACCTGTTCCTTATTTTCCAAGTTTATCACTTATTCATGCAACTTTTTAAACTCTTTTTCTAGATCATTCAAAGATAATAGTTTCAGAAAAACAAGCTAGAAAGTTGCATGAAGAAACTACTAACCAAAATAATCTTAGGAAACATTATTTTGATTATAAGTAAAAAGATCATAACTAATATCCAAATTATAATTGGTCTCAAATTTCTAATAAGGAAAAATAAATTATTTCCTTGAAGAAGAAAAATAGAAAAAAGGCAATAACTTATTTTTCATGGAATTGCACCAAAGAAAAGGTATTTCTCATGAAAACAATGTGGTAATGCTAAAGATTGTGAAACTCCCTAAAACCATCAAACCAAAGAGAGGAAGTAGAGAGAGAGCTGCTCGTATTAGCTGATCATCATTACTAGCTAACGGTTGATTTTCCCAAAGTATAGTACTGGCTGGATTTTTTTTTGCTAAATTGTAAATGTCATTACTTCGAAAAGAATGAAGGTTCGGTTACACGATGAATTGAAACCAAGGTCTGCTATAACAGTCATTCAGATTCTAAGAGGCCGCAAAAAGTTTTAAAAAAACCTCTAAGAACCTAGGTGTATTGGCTGGATTTGCTTTCGTTAAACTAGAAAATGTCGAGAAGTAAGTTCCGCTAATCTCTGCTGCCCTCATACATGGTCCGAGGCAGTGGTGGCAAAGCGATATTGTTGTAGTTGTGCCCATGGTGGATTTAGTATCTGTGGATCAATCAGGCCAGCTCAACATTTTTCGGGGTCCCAAAACAAAAATATTAAGTTTTTATTATTTATTTTTATTAAAAATTTAAATATATTTTAACATTTTTATCATCAACATCTTTATAAAATTTGGGGTGAAAATAAATTATGTACACATAAGATATTTTAGAGTCCCTTTCAACTAAATTTAATAAATACTTTAAAACTTTTTATATATTAATACGTAAATATAAAAAATATTGGGCCCTTTAATTAGTTACGGGGGGACACGGGCTTTGACCCGGGACGGTCGCACTGTTTGTCCCCGTCTTAGCCGGCCCTGAGATCAATCAACGCATTACACATTTGTGATATTACCATTATCAGTGTTGTGATTTACTTATAAGACAAGGTAACTGACAAGTTATAATTCGCATGTTTGTACTTAATGCAAATCTTGAATTGATCTGTTAGTATTCTTTTTATATTTTGTTGTATAATGTCACTGGTATCTCTACCTTAGATTTGGCAGCACCAGGTTTCAAGCTTGTAAGCTGTATCCTCCTTGGAGCTGTTGGTTCTCGAGTTACATGCTTAGTAGGGAACTTATTCCTGTCCACAAATCAAAATAAAGATAGACAAAACATAACCATATTATCACAGGAGTGAGGAGAACCATAACAGAGTAGAGGAAGAAAGGAGTATACAGAGTTGCAATTCCTTATCCTCAAAAAATGAATATAGCATATATTATTAAATGATCAGATCATACAAAATTGTTCATGTTAAGACAAAACAAAGCCATGTGTGTGTGTTGTAAAAGACTATTAAACTCATTTATGAAGATGGTACTGAGAAAGAAAGTCTTGATATGGAGTTGAACAATTTGCCTTGCACATAAACAAAGCCTTCATATCAAAACTCGCCTCACGTTCTTCGAAACAAATCTCCACCGGCGACATATCATCAAAAACCTCAAGCCCTGATCTTCCTCCACCAACATCATCAACATCACTGTCTTTACTACGCACCTTTGAGACGAACTTTGTGAGTTCTTCTTCATGCTCCTTGTTTGAATCCTCATCTGTCTTTGTGATGGGTGAATAAGCAATGAAGCGCTTCTTCTCCTTCTGTGAATCACTGTTAAGCCACATGTCATCGTCAAGTGAAATGACTGTTGTCTCGCCTGCTCCTGAGTTTGCCATTTCCCGAGCCGCTTTAGAGATTTGGTTGCACCGGTCTGAGAACTCTGCATCTGGTGAGAACTCTTGTTGTTCTGAGTTCAGACCACCGTTACGTAACTCGTGTAAGGTGAGGAGGACTTGGAGTGGAAGAACTGGACCAATGAGGTCAACACCAGGCTGCACCTTCTTCGACCATTTGCTGCTTCTTCGTGAAGGTTTCCTTAAGAGGAAAGGTGGTAACTGTGGAAGTTCCGGAACAGATAAGAACTCAAGAGATGGTTTCTTCTTGTCTAACAGAACACCTTCAACATCAGAGTAGTTTGAGAACGCAAACAACAAAAGCTCCATAGGTAAGCTTGACCAAGTTTCTCTCAGAGCAATATCGAAAACGCTTGTTGGTGAGTTGATACTGTTGAAGACTGCAGTAACTGTAGAGGAGGATCTGTCTCTACCAAACCCGCAGAGTTTCAGCTTCTCAAATAACTCTTCATGGTATGTTAAGCTAAGAGGATTGTTCTTCTTTGCACCTGATGATCTCTTTTTACTCATCATCGATTCTAAGAACTTGGAGAGGTTCCCTTTTGTGTAAGCAGAGAGATAGTCTAGTTCTAGGTATTTGAACCTTCTTGGGAGTTTGTATATGTTATCATCAGGATGGTACAATAAGTTCACCTCCTCAGAATTTGCAGGTGGATTCTCGGTGAGGTCTACTCCTAAGCTATTTAAAGGATCAGGAGAGGTATGGAACTTGGCAGCTTCGAGCTTCCCTGAGGATTTTAACCGAATCAAAGTAAACCCATCTGATGAAGAACTAAGTGATGGAAGATACTTGTTTAAAACTCCAAAACCAAGAATAAGAACTCTCTTCTTCTGCCAATCAATCCACACGGGGAGAGACTCCTTCATTACCACCTCTCTGATTTCACAATCCCCGCAGAGACATTTTCCAGCTGGTGAGAGTAGATTGTGTGGAAGCTCCCAGACATACAAGGAAGAAGAATCATTTGGAGGTCCATAACAGAACATTTGAGACTCTGCATTCCAAAACGACCCTATTACAAGGCATGAAGTAGTTGATTCATCTGTCTGAAGCCCGAGATCAGACAAGCTATAAACATTCTCAACATCATGCCGCCACTTCAACAAAGGCACTCCTGATCTCTGATCACAAAGATAAACATAGCTCTTAGAAGCAAGAATGAACCTAAAACTATCACTACCACCGGCCTTAGCAAACGCAATAAACTCTTCAGTTCCATCCATGTTCAGACTCTCAGATTCCAACAAAGCTCTCACACTACAACTCCCAGAGCTTCTAGTGATAACAAAGACTGCATCAGACCGAGCAACGATAAACGTCCCAAGCCTCCAACCAAATTCACACCCTAATCAACTCTTCTGATTCCCTTGATGATCATCCCAAGAAACTTTCATCTTGCAACCTCTGAATCCACTGCAATGACTCTCGTTCAATTCAAAACAAAAAGACCTCACCGTTCTCTAACAGCACCAAACACTCTCCAGTAAGCTGAGGGCTCCAAGAGGCGTTAGCAACAGAACAACTCTTAAACTTTTGACATCCAATGTAACTCAAAACCGGCCTCCCTCGAGAATCATCGTACTTGACACAGTACCAATGAACCGAAGACAGCAAACAAACCATAACGTAACCCAACACTCTGTTGAGAAATCACCCAATATTATTTGTGAGATGAAGATGGGATTTAGACAACTAAGAAATTTAAGAAGAAAACTTTTTCTCTTTTGGAAAGGGATTTACTACAAAGGTTTGTTTTTAGAAACTCTCTCTCTTACAAATGTTTTTCTTCTTAATTCTAGATTGTTACAAATGGTGCTAAGCACCTCTATTTATACAAGTNGAAACTCTCTCTCTTACAAATGTTTTTCTTCTTAATTCTAGATTGTTACAAATGGTGCTAAGCACCTCTATTTATACAAGTGAGAGAGAAACTTCTAACATGTTCTAGATTTCTCTAAATTATTATCCTAATCCAAAATATCTAACATTAATTATTCTACTCCATAACTTTCTCTATTTTTCTCCATAATTCTAGAGAACTAGGTGTTTTGCCCGCACATGCGGGCTTAATTATTTTTAAGACAATTTTAAAAATCCTTAAAATAAATGATTATTTTCATCCAATAAATTAGACCTAGAACATTAAACGTTTTAACATGATAAAATTATTCATAAATTAAAAAAAAAATCTATTTAACTTTGAAAAATAAAATCTAAACTCTGTTTCATTTCTTCTCAATTGATAAAAAAAATATAGAAACTTATCTTTCAATTTGATAAATTGAATCAATAAATATACATTCGAAAATTGATCTTACAGAAAGAATAATATTAGTTTGGATAATAATACAATATATTTGAATGTATTTTGTCAACAACGTATTTTTTTTGAATGATCTTTTATTTTATTATGATTAATTCATGTTTAATGTTATACTTTATAAAATATAAAATAAATTTAATTTAACGTGTGAGTTCAGAGGCGAAAATTACTTCACAAATATATATATCATTATGTTATATTATTATATTCTTTTAATTAGAAAATAATTACGTATTATAAATTTTTCAATTTTCTCTTTTCAATTATGTACAATTAAAAAGTTTCTTTATGAGTATTTATTTATGTGTTTTCTGTTTTTGATTTTTTATTAAAATATATTTTCCGGATAACAACACAATATATATAGGAATTATCTTTTTGCTTTTTAAATATATATTTATATTATGGATAATTCTTATCATTATTATTAATTTAAATAATTTATCTAATCAAATAAATATCAATTTCGTTTTTATTTTATGTCTAGGTGTTTTTGCCCGCACATGCGGGCTTAATGATTTTACAAATATCTATAAATAAATATGTAATCAATTTAAGTAACATTAAAATAAGTTATTGTTTATATATTCAAGATATTTAATAATAATTATGTTTTTCATCATAATATAATAATTGCCATTACATAAATTAAATTTAAAAACACTTATAAGTTAAAATATTTAGTAATAAATTAATATCAAATTTTAAGATATGAAAAAAATTTTGAGTTTAATAAAATTATCTTTTATTGCGTAAATAAATTTGAAATACTCTTGTATACATAAAAATATATAGAAAATAATATGTAGGATTTTTTTTTAGTTTTATTTTTAAAATAAGATGAAAATTAATTTTTTGGATAACACAATATAAATTATTTTTTATCTATAATTATCAAATGAATGAGTTTTTTTTAATTAATGATAAATTATAGATTAACAATTACAATTAGTTTTCAATGTTGATAAATATTTTATAACCCAATATAAACAAATTAGATAAGGATAATTATAAAATTAATGAAATTCGTTTTTAATTTATAATTAATTATATATTAACAAATAAAACTATTTTCACGATTAATAAAGACTATTTAAAACATTAGAAAAAAATTTTAGATAAGGATAAATCTTAAACCACTGAAATTCGTTTTTATTTATAGCTAATTATATATTGAAAATTTTTAATTATTCATTAAGGGTATAATCGATATTAACCACTCCAACTTTTAACGTGAGAGCTCCGTTGCGAAAAATCACTTCGCAAATAATAGTATAGATTCTTTCTCCTTATGCTTCTCTTTTGGGCTCTTAATATAGATCATAACTTTGGGTTTGGGCTAATGGAGGAAAATCCAACAAATCTCCCCCTTTCTGATTTAGCCCGAAACCATCTTCATGCCCGTACCTTTGCAGCAATTTTCAAACTTCTTGATCGGCAATACCTTGGTCATAAAATCTGACCAGTTTTCATCTGTGTGTACCTTTTTGAGATATAGAAGCTTATCTTCAAGAACTTCTCGAATCCAGTGGTGCCGAATGTCGATGTGTTTTGAGCGGGAGTGAAACGTTGGATTCTTTGCCAAGTGTATAACACTTTGGTTGTCACATAGAATGTTGTACTTCTCTTGCTTTACTCCTAACTCAAGCAAGAAGTTCTTCATCCATAGCATCTCCTTGCATGCTTCCGTTGCTGCGATATACTCTGCTTCCGTGGTGGATAAGGCAACACACTTTTGTAGCTTTGATTGCCATGAAACAGCTCCCCCTGCAAAGGTAGTCACAAATCCTGATGTTGATTTCCTTAAATCTTTATCACCAGCCCAATCTGCATCAGTGTAACCGTTCAACTCCAATTTTCCATCGCCAAAGCATAGACACTTCTTTGTTGTGCCTCGTAGATAGCGTAGGATCCACTTAACTGCTTTCCAATGCTCCTTTCCTGGATTCGCTANGAAACAGCTCCCCCTGCAAAGGTAGTCACAAATCCTGATGTTGATTTCCTTAAATCTTTATCACCAGCCCAATCTGCATCAGTGTAACCGTTCAACTCCAATTTTCCATCGCCAAAGCATAGACACTTCTTTGTTGTGCCTCGTAGATAGCGTAGGATCCACTTAACTGCTTTCCAATGCTCCTTTCCTGGATTCGCTAAAAATCGACTCACAACTCCTACAGCATAGGCAATGTCGGGTCTGGTGCACACCATAGCATACATTAGACTGCCCACTGCTGATGCATATGGGGTAGTCTTCATTGGCGCCGTCTGTGGGGATCGAACCCACGGCCAGTGAGAGAGAAACTTCTAACACACTCTCAAATCACTACTACTGGGTTGCACTGAAATCTTCAAAACTCTCGAAAAGAATCGCTCTTTAGCTACAAAGACTTCACCTTTATCCAAACCCATGACCTTGATGTCACCACCGGACTCGGACTCGGACTCATCTCCGGTTGTAACCACCACGAACCCTAGTTGATCTAAGTTAGTTCCGGTAGGGCAAAACACCAAGACAGAGGAGCCTTTACCGTGGAGAGGTAGAAACTGGAGGCGGTTGTATGAGAGAACCCTATCGGCTTCGTTGTTCGGATGTGGGATACGGAAGGAGGACTCGATTGCGGAGGACGACGACGGAGGGATGCCTCCGGAGACGGTGAGGAATCGCGCGTGGGTTAGGTGAGGGACTCGGTGGAGAATCGGAGGAGAGAGTGAGGGAGAAGAGAAGAGTAGCTGCGAGTCTGATGGGTTCGAGAAGAAAGGAGGAGATGATTCTCCGGTGATGGAGATGGCGCTTTTGCGTGTTTGATGCACTTGGTCTAATATTAGATACAAATGTTGCATCCTCCTCATTCATTATCTCATTTATAAGATGCATCTTCCATTCTCTAGGTCCACGAATAAGAAGGCCATGTACCTTGATGTGGCGTTGATCACAAGTTTCTCTTGTTTTTGTTTTTTTTTTTTTGGAATGCACTTATCTTCCAACACTTTATACACATTAATATCGAATAAAGATAAATTTTGTAAGAAAATAAGTAAATATTATACTTTTCTAGTTTTTAATGTGCATCCATTTTTAAATGGAAATAAAATTTTAAATTTTAATCTTGGTTTATGATAAAACCAATCAAGACCATTAGATATCAAATACATGTTACCAAATCGACTAGCAAAATTTCGTTCTTCAAACATGTTTTCTTAAAAAAGAAATTTTAGAATTATCAAACCCAAATAATATAATATGTAAACAACATTGTAAGCATATTTCAAACGACTCTTTCCCACAATTTTTTTCTACAATAAAATGTAAACATACATCAAGTATTCTGATATTTTTTTAATTATATTATTATTACCAAGTTTTATTCTATTCACTTTTATTTTCTCTAGCAGTGTATATAGTGTATACTAATAGCAATGGATTCAAATAAGTTTAATACTTTCAACTGATTGATTTTCCTTTTGCTAGATCAGCTTTTTCATACAGTAAACATTTGCTTATATATGAGAGAAATCTCACAAATCCAACAATGACCGACATCAATAGAAAAAGAGAAAACAAATTTAGCATATATACAAGAGAAACCTTTGATACCGAAATGGATCGCACGCTGAGACTATAAAAAGATACCATTCTAATCATTCAAACGTTGAAGATATTTTAAAGGAATATCCGAAGTGTTTTCTTACTTACATTTTGATATATAATATTGCTTTCAATATAAAATATGCTAAAAATTGTTTAAAGACCTTCTTTGTCTAAATCAATATACACTAGAAAATCAATAATTAGTGTCTAAAAGAGGAGGGAAATCTCACAAATCCAAACAATGACGGACATCAACAAAAAATGAAAAAAAATAGATTAAGCATATAATCATCCAAACGTTGAAGATACTTTAAAAGAAAATCTGAAGTGTTTTCTTACTTACATTTTGATATATTATTTATTTTCCAACTCGAAATTGAACCCTCGGCGGCATAGTCACATCCCCACCATTCATCTGCAAAATATATATATATTTTTAAACAATAAGCATCATTAAATTTACATAAAAAAATATCATCAAATTTATTATATTTGGTTGCACAAATTTCGACCCAACGAGACCGAAAGACTTCTAAAATCAAACACAGTAAAGTTTATATGTAGTAGAACATGTTTTCATAAATATACATTTATGATTTCCGCTACTTGTTTTCACAAATCTAATTGTGAAACTCTATAAAACAATTAAGGTTAGTCGTCAAATATCTCACATGTTATATGCTTAAACACATAATTTTTGTAAACANTCGA